TGTCTCCCCCTACCTCCAAAGACTAGTCTCATACTGACACATTTTTCTCTTGTCTTTAAGAGACCGCTGCTTTCGATCAGGCCTGATATTCAGCCAGTATATTCATGGGCATGCACTCGTAGAGCCAGTATATGGATGGATATATGCATGGATACACACCAGTAGGGCTTTGGCAATAGTTAACATTCAGTGTCCACCCTGATAGGTGACCATCTTATTAGTTATTAAATATTTTAATATCATCCCTAGTGTCTTGATTTCCAGTTCCACATTTTAGCTAAGCCCAGCCAAAAATCTACTGACACACTCACACTCATTAAAGGTTGGCTCCCCCTCCCACTCATCACCTTAACTTAGATCTCCAATGATAACATTCTTTATCACCACTCCCTACTGAATCGCCAGTTACACACAGTAGGTGCTCAGTAACTGGTAAATTGAACTAAAAAGAAAAAACTATAGGTAAGATTAGGAGTTCCTTGAAACTAAATGGATTATCTCAAATGATGGATTTATTTCTCAGTACTTACTCTGCCACTTCTGCACTCGCCTATGGACTTCAAGTATTTTGTGGATAATGAGGATGAGCAAAAATATAAAAACTAATATTACTAACACATACCAAGTGATCTTCATGGAACAAGAGAAATCTGCAAAGAAAAAAAATACAATAAAAGGACACAATAAACAAGAGGCTATGTTGTGTGCAGCTGGGTTCTGTTATGTATTCTGCCCATCACTAAAAAGCTAAATAGTACATAGCATCACTTTATGGGTCATTAACTATCCTGAATTCTTCCCTGATGTATGAGGAAACTTGATCAGGTGGCTTCCAGAGATTCATTTAGTTCCGAAATCCTAGGGTTAATTTCTTACAGGTTACGCTAGTGTTAGTTTCACTATCATTTCTATCACTAGGTTAAGACCAGGACATAGCCAAGCAGCCAAAAATTATATCCTGAAATCAACAAAGGTGCATTGAGTATGAGGAGGATGAGGAAGAAAGGTAATGACAGACGAAGAGAAAGGGCTGGGCTGAGGCATAGGAGGTGAAAGCAGCCAGGGCAGATGAATAATCAGACTCCCCTTTTCACAGGGATCTCAAGGTGATGATCAGATCAAGTACGTGCATTAATCAAACATGCAGTTATCCCAGCCTAAACTGAATGAAGATACAGGTAAACACTTGGTCATTCAAATGACAGTGAAGCCACATGGGGAGGACAGTCACCATCCAGTAATAGTTTAGCACAGTCTCCTTTGATCCCATAGAGACACACTGGCCAGCCGACGCAGGAATCAGTGACTTAAACGATGACAACCTCATCATGTCCAAGACACAACTGTCTACTGACTTTCGAAGCCATCCTCTGGACCCTCTTCCTTGCACACAAAACACTGCTCGTACTTATTCAACTTAGCAAGATATATAACTTGCATATATATCTTGGATGCCTGCCCTTGTGGTGCTCATGATCTGGGTATCCCTTTCACAGGACCCCCCTCCACGGGCAGGTGTACATTACATAAGCAGTCAACATGTATTTAGAGAAGAAGCTGGATGAAGAAAAGTCATAGTTGACTGGGATGACATAGCACTCGGCCTCCCCAATATCATTCCATGATAGTGAGCTGCCAAACTTGCATTTCTCACTCAGCAAGATAAAAGTATGTAGTCAGCCCAGCCGGCCTGGCTCAGTGGTTGAGAATTGACCTATGAACCAGGAGGTCATGGTTTGATTCCTAGTCAGGACACCTGCCCAGGTTGTGGGCTTGATACCCAGTAGGGGGCATGCAGAAGGCAGCCAATCAATGATTCTCTATCACTGATGTTTCTGTCTCTCTCTCTCCCTCTCCCTTCCTCTCTTTTAAAAAAAAAGGAATAGCAGATTGTCAGTGCCAGCAAAAGCCAAGATGGGTCCAACCACCAAGGTGTCACTGGGTAATGGTCAAGCCACAAAAAAAAACAACAACAAAAAAAAAACATGCATTCACCAAAGTTATATTGCGAGAGCAGAATGTGCACAGTTGAGGCCAAGCCAGCCATCCTACCCACGAATGTAAACATAGCATCGGTGTGAACACAGAGGAATGTGTTTCCCCACATCCTATGCCGCACACCTTCCCTGCATCCCTGCAGCCACCTGGGAGAGAGCCAAGGGGAAACGAACAAGAATCTGAAAAAAATCTAAAGAGACGGCTTAAATTATTGTTTCAGAGTAAATTTACCAAATTGGACTAAATTTCGTTTCATTCCTTGATGGATGGGGCTTTTAAAGAAGATCACATTAGTCTTTGCACAGCAGAGTAAAATACGACTAATTTTTTAATCTTCTACACATGGCAAAATGGATATAGTTTTTCCAGAATATAAAACTACCTACTTATACAGCCCTATAATCTTTCTGAATTATGGACCCCCCCCAAAAAAAAATTAGCTATCATTTCACTCTGACTAGATTTATGGATTTTTCCATTAACACAAAAATAAATCCTCTTAAAATCATAATAGAAATGCTTATTTGTCCTTTATGTTTTAGAACATCAAGTAATTAAATGGATACATAAATGTACATTGAAATAAATGTTTTAGAATCTATAATCCAAACCTCTTTATCTTTCAGATTTTATCACAGTCACCTTTCCCATGCAGCCTTTCCAAAACTTGCCTTCCAACCTCACACCTGAACCAGAAGGAACGGACTTTCTCATGCCCTCTCCCATGCCACCCC